CCCCCCTCCCCCTAAAAAAAAAGCAAAAAATAAACAATGGCTGGCATATTCAGTCTACTGCTGAACATTTTGCATCCCTCAAGAAGGAATATGTTGTGTGATGAGCATTAATGACAACGCAGTGGCCTACTTGATCGATCGATACTTCGTTCGCGGGGCGATGATTGATCGACTGAAATCGATGGGAAGAAATACGTCATTATGTTGTTGTGATGAGCATTAATGACAACGCAGTGGCCTACTTGATCGATCGATACTTCGTTCGCGGGGCGATGATTGATTGACTGAAATTGACTGAAATCGACTGAAATCGACGAGAAGAGAAATACGTCATTTTCCGTGTTCGGAACTCTATTATAGCAGTGGGGTAGAATTGTATCCTGTCAATCGTGGGTAAGATGAGAGTGTTCATTCATCAATTAATTGGCCGATCGATTCGCGAGAGAATCGCCGACGTCGGTAGAAAAAACCATACAGCCATGGGACTCGATTGCTTGATCGGTCCTCGGCCGTAGGGGGGTAGTAGGTAAGTCAGTCGATCACCTGTCAACCCGCCAACGTCAGCGAACAAGATATACTGAATGATCACCAGTGGTCGATCAGTCGCATGTTCGATTCTCCATTGCCTCGATAGTACACACACAAAGATGACGAGCCCAATCAACCGTGGACACAGTCGAATCTCGGTGGTCGTCATGACTGTACCGATCCATCCATAAATCAAAAAAGTGAACGATCAATCAATCGATCAACTAATGAGTGAATGATTGACTTGATGGGAACAGTGAGTGAATGAATGCAGCACAGTGAGTGAATGAATCCATGCATGGGTCGAATGAACGAGTGATGGGATCAGTCCATCGGGCACTCACTCGTTCTGGCATTACTATCGTGCTGACTGAGGTAATGCTCGACCATTGAACCTTTCGATTGATTAGTGCTTTCGAGAGATTGTTTGATGTGTTGGGCGATTCAGTGACGTCAGCCAATCAATCAATCAATCAATCAATCAATCATTCAATCAATCAATCAATCAATCAATCAATCGATTTATGGACCGACTGAGGAAATGATGGCATTACTATCGTGCTGACTGAGGTAATGCTCGATCATTGAACCTCTCGATTGACTAGTGCTTTCGAGAGATTGTTTGATGTGTTGGGCGATTCAGTGACGTTAGCCAATCAATCAATCAATCAATCAATCAATCAATCAATCAATCAATCGATTTATGGACCGACTGAGGAAATGATGCACGAGCGAACCACCTTCTTTTGCTTTTGCAAGAACCCCACTTGTTTTCCGTCGTTTCCGCACCTTTTTTTCTATTTTTGGATCTTTTTGCTCTTCTCCAAACCATGCTTCTCTATTGCTTGCATAAAGGGATGACCCTCTGCTTGCTGGAACCTCTCTGACAACGCACACCTCACCTCCACCCACCTCGTTCCTTTCTCCCCCCTTCCCGTACTCCCACCCTTCTCTGCCCGCCTCGCCCCCAACGCGCGCCCCCCTGCCCCCCTTCCCCCCTTCCCCGCCCGTCTCTCGCCTCTGTCTCTTCCTTTTACGTTCCTTTCCGCGCTCTTTCTCCCCTCCGCGTTTTCTTGCTTCCTCCTTTTTTTTTCTTTTTTTTTTTCGCTCTTGTCCTTTTGGCTGATGTTTCTCTAACAGTGTATTTAGGTCTGATGGCTTCCAGCAGTGCCGCGGGAGGAAAGGCGGAGAGAGGGAACGCAGCAAGGGGCCGAGGAAAGGATGGCGCGAATCTGGAGGGTGGCTCGCTGAAGCGGAAGAGAGGACTTTTCAACAAAGACCGTATCCAAAGATGTGTGGTTGGGTGGCCGTTCGCTCGAGGATCGTTCTTCCTTCTTTCGTCCCCTTTGATTTCTTTTTCATTCCCTGTTTTCGTTTTTATGGAAAATGGAATCTGTTTGGAACTGTTGTTTGCAACTGTTGTTCTTCCTTCTTTCTTCCCCTTTCATTGCGCGTTTGAGCATTTGAGCATGTAACACGTTTGGAGTTTCATTGCTGATTCTCAGTGAGCGTGTGCAGAAGCAATTGGCCATTGCTTGTCATCATTCTTCTTCTTCTTCTTCTTTCTTCCCCTTTCATTCGTTTTCTTTCCTTGTTCTATTTTTTTGAAAATGGTATCTGTTCTTGGCCTTCCTTCTTCCGGCTTTTGGATGCCCTGCAAGTGCTCAGCTGTCAACCGGTGGATGCCAATGAAGAATGAGGGCTTCGTTCCACTGCAGCTCAATCGTATGTTGAAGGGCACAGGCTGCAGTACGACTGACAGACAGACTCTGCAAGGAGCCAGCTCGGTCACTCGGGTGCTGGGTGTCGCTCATCGCTGGGTGACGTTGCATTGCTGAGCGGCTTTAAAAAGCATTGGGAAAAAGTTGCGGTAATGCAAGAGGGAACACAACCCGTTAAAATTGGAAAGATATAGGAAATATTAGCATGGCCCCTGCGCAAAGGGGAAAAAGAGACAAAAGAGGGAACATAAAGCAGCAGAAAACAGATATTCATCCTCATGTGGTGTGTCTTACTTTCTTTTTCTCTCTTTTTTTTTTTTCTTTCAAACAAGCTATATTCGTTTCCCAATTTCACCTTTCACGACCTACCTACCTCTACTCCTAAGCACAGGTGACCCCTGCAAGCACAGCTACCTCCCGTAATCAAGGGGATGCTTGTTACCCTGCCTTAATTGGTAGTGGTCAGGGAGTAGAGTAGGGGCCCCCGGTGGGTGGGGGGGCGGCTAACACAAAGTTGGGCCAATCAATAAAACTACCGCCGCCGTTGCTGCTGCTGCTGCTGCTGCTGCTGCTGCTGCTGATGATGATGATAGATCGTCTTCAATGTGGAGCATTTCCTCATCTGTGCATGTCACCCTTGCAAAAGGGGCAGGGCGTGCCAATCTCCCCTTGTCTGCCTTTCTCTTCAACTGTTTTAACTGATGTGTGGAAAATAAATTTCCCTTCACAAGATGTCACCCTTTCAGAAGGGGCACACCAATCTCCCCAATCTCCCTGTGTGTATGTGTGGTGTGGTGTGTGTGTGTGTGTGTGTGTGTGTGNGAGAGAGAGAGAGAGAGAGAGAGAGAGAGAGAGAGAGAGAGAGAGAGAGAGAGAGAGAGAGAGAGATGATGCATGGTGTGGTGCAGTTTTGTTGGGCCTTGAGGAATATGGTCCTTTTGGTTTGTATGTGTGCATATGTGAAGCCCTCAGAAAACTTGAATGTTGAAGAAACCTCCTTGACTTGCCTTCATTTTGCTCTGACTTCACAGTGCGGCTGATGATGTATGGGTTCGGTGACGATCCTGATGTAAGTTTTTCCCTCTTGCAAGATCTCTCTCATGGTCCTCCCCATCCTTCACCTCATTTCCCTCCTTTTCTGTTTCCGACTTATCAGCGATCAGGACCACCAGTATGACTTAATTCTCGACCCCCTGGCAGACCTGTTCCGGGCAACCGGCCGCTGGAGCTCAGAACTGCTTGCGTGAAGAATTGGGCACTGCTTTGTGGTAATTCATTGCGCTTGGTGACATTTGTACTCGAGCCTACTACTCTGCACTCAAACTCCTGCTCGAATCCTGTGAACCCTGCACCCGGGGTGTGCAGGAATGTGATCTCCAACTGTAGCAAAGGCTTGCGAGCTCATACCCGTACTGAAGCGTTGTGAACCCTCGTTCGTCTCCATGGATGGGGTTCACAAATCGTTTACAAGGCAACTTCATGAGGAGTTTGCAGGGAAAGAGGGTAGACAACACTTCAGTAGGCATTCACAAGATTTCATATCAGTAAGAAATCACATTGTCTCCAAGGTATCTCGGCATGCTTACCTCCCTATCTACGGAGATAATGATTACTGGCAGCGTGTAATTGGATCTAAATCGTGCTGTAGGAGGGGGTTACACGACCAGGCCAGAGGAAGTGAAGGCTGCTGTAGCATAGTGTGGTCGGGTGAGGACTCAGTCTGGTGTGGCGAGGCACAAGCTGTAAGTGGAACAGAGGACCTTCTTCTACCTGCACTGTTTGTTATACTTCTTGCCTGCCAATTCCTGCAGGATGATTGTGCAACGAGTAGTGCTCGCCAGCCATTTGGGAAGAACGCAAGCCTTGTGTGGGGATGGAATGCTCACCAGGCTTGTCGCTGGTTATGGTGGCACTTCTCCTAAGGGATCAATTGGTGGTGGATGGATCAAGGCCATATGTAGACCGACCGGTCTTTCTTGTTGCACATAAAGCTATAATGACCATGCAGTATGTGTCGGGAAAGACGGTAGGTAGGACTGAAGAAGGATGACGACAATGAGAGTGTGGGCTTGCAGAGATAACTTAGGGAAGTAGTGGACATAAGAAAGCATGGGATGTGTATCTGTGTGTGTGTGTGTGGGCGGGTGCTTGTCATAATCTTTGCGTGATGATTAGGGGAAGACAGTTAATTGGAGTTGAAGACAATCAGACCCTAAATGTTGCCTGTCGCCCTGTGTGATGGGGCTGGCCTGTCCTTCTTCGTGGATTTATCAATATATATCGTCAAACAGGTATATGTAATCGAATTGGGATCTGTTTCCTCGTCATCAGTTATCGACCGTCGCATGGAGTCCCTAGCAAAACTAATACAATGCGCAACTTGGGCGAGCTTGCCCAGATCCTCGAGTTATATACGGTAAGTTCCATTGCATATTCATTGCAAGGTGTCTGCCACACGTTTTCATCTTACTGTGTGCAGCCTATTCCTGAGACTGTGGAGCTGGTCGAAGACATACTCATCAACTACATCACGGACATGGTGGGTCATTGGCAATCTCTTTTGGGTGTCTTCTTCGTTGTTGTGTGAAGAGAGGGACATAATGCCAACAAGAAAAGCTGGTTTTCAGAAATGTGGTTGGTATCTGAACTCTCTCAGTCATGTGCTCTATTGCCTCTTATTGGGTAAAAGTCAATTTTGATTTTTTGGCTGAAGGTGGATGGACTCCTAGGGAAGTTTTCAACTATCTTTGTCTTCTCGTGAAACCACCAGTGCACACCCCCCTCCGATGAAACTCGCGGGTGAATACGAACTGCAAAGCGGAAGGCTCGACCTACCGGACCGAAGGCGGGTACCAGGGGAGGCATGCAAAATTTTGAGTACCCCAATGTTGGCGGTTTTTACTTCTGATTTCCGTTGATGAGAAAATTGGGAAAAAGTCAGGGATTTAGATTAGTTCTGCCACATCAGTCTCAACAAAAAATAAAATAATAAACTGAACTTATTTCGCCTTCAAACAAATATTAGTGCCAAACTGCTCACATAATTTGTTCAGAGTCCGTGTGACCTGGTAGGAGTGATGTTTCAGGCTGGGCAGGCCCAGGTAGCTTGTTTTTCTTTTCTTTTCTTTCCGGTTTGACAAAATAGGCTCGTATGCACTAGGCCTTCTTTCAGCCAAACCAGAGCCATTACCTTCTGTGAGGCACAGTGCAGGTACAGACTGCACCTTTCAGATTTCTGAATGCTCCACTGAGAAGGTGAGGCCGTCATTCAGTTTTCTCTCTCTCTCTCTCTCTCTCTCACACACACACACACACACACACACACACACACACACACACACACACACACACACACACACACACATTGGAAAAGGGAATGGATGTTCACGTGGAGATCCCATTCATGCCTCTCTCTCTCTGTGTATGGAAAAAAGGGAATGAATCTGTACCTGTCTGATGATGACTGAATGGTATACACACGCGGCCGTTGGTGGGTTGATTATGGTACCCTTTAAAAAAAAAGGAAAAGGAAAAGAAGAGGAAAAATTCATCGACACTGGTCTGCAGGATTTTAGATGGAACTGATGTATGGTTGCATTCTCAGAGACGCTAGCATGTTGTCAAAGCACACAACACTGCTTGATGGGAACTGCATGTTTTATGCTTTCTGTGCAATATTGAAGCAATCTGCACGAGATGGAATTATTACGTTCTTTCTCAGATTCAAATCCGGAACGGTATGAAGGAAGAGGTATTGGGAAAGATGGTAAGCTAATCGCATCTCGTTATGCAACGCTTGTCAGAAAATCCAAGTATATGTATGCTTCCTCGATTTTCTTTTTTTTATGTAGGTATACAGAGCTGTTCACGAAGGCTTCTTTCAGGGCTGTTCACAAAGGCTAAGTTGTTGGCTTAGAGGCTGAGAAGAAGCAGAACTCTCTTTGCGTGCCTGCCTGCTATGGAACAGGTGCACAAGTCTGCAGAAGTTGCATCTCGCCGCGGGAAACTTCAGACAGACGATCTGGTCTTTCTTATCCGGAAGGTAAATGTCTTGTTACCTGTTTTGGGTTAATTTGCCGCACCCAGCTGATATGTATGCATAACTCCCTCCTCTTGGTGGTTGCCATCAATCAGTTCCACTGTGGGGGGAATTTTTGTGTTATGGGTCCTAATTGGGCTGTAAACCAAGGCTGAACCGGCCGGATCACCTGCCCCGGTCCAACCAGGGATGGACCGGTGCAGGGGGGGTGAACCGGCAAAACCGGATGGCCCCAAATTCCCCCCCCCCCTGATGGTGGCATCCGACTGCGCTCGCTGAGATCTGTCGGATTCTGCATTAAAACTTGTAAAGTCAGAATTTATGTGTGTGTGTGGGGGTGGGGGGGGGAGGGATGGATTTGGGGTTGGGGTGGGGCAGGGGGAGGGGCGGGATTTTGTGGTGCGGGGTGCGTTTCTTGGCTGTGCAGACCCGCAAGCGGCAGCATTATATACTTGATGGAAGACGAGGCAGATGACAGTATGAGGTGGAAAATGCAAAGAAGTAAAGAAAAAGAAGACTGTAGGCCGAAGTTCACGTCCACTCGAATGAGCGGATGTCAGCCTCGACGTAGTCTCATGTGGGTGGGGTCGCGGCGGTGGGCAGGAGCAGGCCGGCTGTAGGCCGGTAGGCTCGCATTTTTGGAATTTGAAACAGCGGCCTGTAGGACCCCGGAATTTTGAAAAATCGCGTGGTTATCGCCGATCTCCGATGATCAGCAGTGGAGATCCTCCGTGCTTTGTTTCAAAATTCCGGGGTCCTATAGGCTGTTTTTTTTTTTTTTTTT